TATATATATATATATATATATATATATATATATCACTGGGCCCCGCCTTACAAATCGGCAACTAACAAACATGGAAAAGTTAAAGGCAATATACCAAAAACCACTAGGTGTATAATACACACTCTCCTCCAGGCTGGCATATGTGAAGACAACGGAAACATTTGTCCTGGAAGACATACGAAATTATTTGTTACCTGGCACAAAACGACGACAAGAAGTCATGGAAGGGCGAAGAAAGAACATCGAAGAATCCTTCTATACTGTAGATGCCATTATAAATCGAGAATAGCCAGACCAGTTTACCAACTTAATAACTTCAACTGTTCAAAAACTATAAGAAGTGCCAAAGTTTCGTGACTCGTTCCATATACATGGTGGAAATACTACCATGTGTATAACCTCCTTGGTACACTGTGCTGCAAAGAGTATGTATGTATATACTGTGCTGTACGTTTTCTCTATAAAAAAAAAACAACAGAACATGCTCGAAAGTTTTGTGCAGAAATCTTTCAGTCTGGATTTTGGAAAGTCCTGACTATGCGTTCTGTACGTGTAATCTGCATGAAAACTGTACCGTGTAAAAGGACCTTACGATAAGTCTCTCGATTTTCACTCAACGATATAATTTCTCCTCAAGGGGTTGGCAAAACGGTTTCCAACACAAATGTTTACTTCCGAAACATTGGTAACATTGTTATTCAAAACGAGACGTTTGGCTGCAAGACGAGCCATAGTGTGTGGTTTGATTTAGCTGCTGATCACAGAGCAAGAGTGCTAGAAACGAATCTTATTATTGTCTTATTCCAGTCCTCTTTGGCCCTCTTGTACTTGTCAGAGAGCACCCATCTATGACGATCTGTCCATGCTATTCATAGGTCTGATTTGTACAGGTATTTTGACACACTTTATTACAGTCCTTTGTGTTTATATTTGTTGTTGCATGCAAATGCATTTAACCTTTTTGAAGGAGGCTGCGGGCGAACCAAGGTGAACGTTTAATAACTGCTCTGTTAAGTGAAATGAAATTAATTGTTACTGGCATTGGAAAGACATGTTTAAATTGTGGTTAAGTTCCCTATCTCATCGTTTTATAATGAATCTTATTTTACAATATGTTAGATGTTCAACGTAATACTTTGTTCTATGTATATGTAACTTCACTCTCTCCACCGAAGACATCACATTGACTCATCATACACAATTGTAATTGTATATGTGACTCAAGAAAACATTACTATATACTAGACATGCTTTATTTTTTATTGTTTTCAGGAAGTTCCTGGAATTGTCTGTTAGAATGAACCTTGAATAAGACAACTAATTTGTGGGAGCGTGAACCTACACGGAGGCGAACTTCTCAATATTGGTATTTATTTTCTATGTACAATTATGAAACAGCATATATTAAAATATGTTGGGATATTTAATACTGCAGTTGGACTAACAATGATGAATGAAGTAGCTGTTGTACACCTTCAACATTTCTTAAGTGCCAGTCATCAGTCTAAAACTGTCAGATTTCACTGGAGCGGAGGATTCCTCTGTTTAATAAAATCTTAACTTTGCGTGCGTTTCCATATCAGATTATTCAGTCGACTTTTTGTTGAATTAGATAGATACATAGTGTTCTTTTTAACTAGACTATATTTTGCCAGGGTTGTCATCTCTCTTCTTTTTGGAGGTCTTGTCCTTTTTTACATTGCCCCCATGACCTCCCTTCTTTTTTTAATTTACAAGGAATGTCCTTTTTGTCCTGTTAAATTGAAGATAACTGTCATAATTTTTAAGTAATTTAATTCATTAAGGCAACATAGTCTTGAATATCTACATTTTTATTCAAATAAATGGTCTGCATAATAGGTCATTGGGCTTATTTTTGTGAAGATCATTTGTTATATGAACTTTTGGAACAGTCATTAAATTATACTCCCATCCAACACTAACAATGAGTTAAATTTACTGCCTCTTTGAAAATTATTACTGAAAGTGATTGAATGACTTTTGAGTGAGTTTCTCATGACGAGAGATATCACAACCTGTCTCAATATATTGCTGCTAGCAGCAGAGTTCTTTAGCGTGATAGATTTGGGGGTACAAAACACTAATCTTATTTTTGTCTTCGTTGTGAACATATATCACCTCTGAATTTTTAATCCTCAAAGTACCATGGAGTCTTTGACGAACCACAGTCTCTTGGAATTTTTACAGAAGTTCATTAAAAACCTGAGCAGATTTAATTGTGACTCAATGATTTTTTTATTTAATTTTCATTTACATTTGGATATGTCTTACGATATGTAATGATTCCTAAAAAATGTGCTTGAGGTCCTTGCGAGACCCCCCCCCCTTCCTCGTTTTTTTTCTGAAACTTTTTTCAGAATAAAATGCATGGTTTTGTGTGATAATATTGTGCAATAACAAGTGTAAACACTATTTTGATCTTTTTCCTATTGATCAACAGATGCCAACTAAAAGGATAATTAAGTTTGTGGGGGAAAAAATTGTAAAAACGTGAAATTGGAAATAGGGTTTCAAAAGAACCCTCATGGTATTTAATATTCCAGCAAGACTGTAGTACTTGGAGGTTTAAACAAGACCTACGCTCCTTATGTAACACAAATTGTTTGTTCCATTGTGTCCCACACCAGTTTGTGACCGTACAGGAAAAGGAAGTGCCTTTATTATCTTTGCAAGAAGCCTCTTTGTGGTGAACATAAAAAGGTTATAACTTGTTATTAACATGATTTCTTGTATTTTGTGCTGGTTATTTTGTGAATTCCTGTTTCCTTCTTTTTGAGGATTATTCCATAAGCAAGTATTGCATAAAACTAACCTTCAATTTTCTTTCACATAATGGTATTTTCATATACTTACCAACAAAAAGGCAAATAAAAAACAATAGGTACAAAGTATTGTCCTAATATTTTATACGCAAATGAAAGAACGAGAAAATTTTCCTCAACATTAGTATACCCATGTGTAGGATAGGCTAGGTGACTAAATTTTCACAAACCCAATAATAACACAGAGGTTCGTGTTTCTATATTCATGTGTACTGAAATACTCTGATTTCATCTTGCAAAGTATATTATTTAAATAATAATATATACAATGTTAAATCAATCAGGATACAAAACAACAAACTACCTTATAACAAGGGATTTAATAAAAAGACTGGTGGTCGTGTATGTAGCCACTTTCTGTGTCGTCCGAATTCATCCCTGGGATGTTTGGAAAGTTTTATCCTGGCTATGGGAAAGTACCTGCGAATCATTCTCATCACTTACAGCACCCAACTCCATTGTTATAAAAAGATTGGAATTATTGTAAAACATTGAAACTCTTGAAAACGCACTCTTCTTCCTCCTCCTCTTCTTTTTTTTACCTGCCGTTGCTGCCCCTGCTGTGGTTCTTCCTGTTGCTGAGCATGCTGTTCTGCTAAAACATTTTGTATACTTGATTTCAAATCCTGTGGGTGGTTCTCCATATCTGCAAGTCTCTTTTGAAGATGAGGACTAATCACCTCTTGTTCCAACTGCTTGACATACTCAAATTGTGTCGTAATCGATATGTCTCTTTCAAACTTGTATATATTATGAGTTCAAGATTCCAATATTCAACATACTGTAAACTACAGCAAGGGGTCATTGCCTGGTTTTCCTACTGAATGTGAAAACTACACATTTCATGTCTAAGGGATCTACTTCACATTCTGTTTTATGGTAAAAGCATAGTTGGTCCTTTAAATCCATACAGGATTTATCCAGGTGGCCTTTGTGGGTTAACAAAGAATTCCTAAGAAATCCCTTTTTACTGTCCCAACATAGGTGAATTTTCTCTTCACCAGATCATCAATAACTTCTGCAGAAATAAACCAATTGTCTGAAGTGACATTCCTGATAGACCCTTAAATAGTTGCACACGAAGCATAGTAGGGATATTCAATTTTTGCTCTTGAATTATGATCGTCCAAATAGATTCGGCGAGCCATTAGATTATTTTAAAAGGAAAAATATCAAATATACATTTGAGGAAATTCACCAAAGAGTGCAATGGAAATGCCTATCTCGCAGACCACTTACACAGTAAGAGAAACAAACTGTCTCACATACTGCTACGAAAAATACGGGAAGAGAAATTGCCTCGCTGACGGGCACGATTTCCAAACATAGTCCTTCAACACTGGCTGCTTCAGCAGAACTAAATAAAACTGTCAAGTGATAGAAGAGGGTCAGGGAGGAAGCTACTATGACTGTCAATGCTTTTGCTCACTCATATCTGCCACTATTGAATAAATCAATTTTACTTGGTGCCTGTCAGACCGATATTTCCGTATAACTCTGTAAGATGTTGCTTCATCCATGGATCAAAGTGAAGCACTTATTGGAGTATTTTAAGATCTTTCAAAAGCATTTGATGTCATTGATCGTAACATTTTACTTTCAAAATTACCTTCATATGGAATTTGCTGTATTACTGTAAATTTGTTATGGTGTACCTTAAACAACAATCAGAGAGTAGAAATACTATACTATAATGATAGGACATTCTTTACTTTTCCAATTCATTTCCAGTTGCACATGGAGTTCCAGTGGGTTCAATTTTATACCCTATCCTGTTCCTACTACATGTGAACTATCTATATATGCCATTGACAATTCGAAACAGAAAAACAGTACCTTGGTGATTGTTAAGAATATTATTTACAATAAATAAAGAGTAAATAGTGCAAAGTCAGAAGTTTCAAATTAGTTTCATAATAATAAATTAATGGTAAACAAAGGGTAAATTGTTTCAATGCAGTTTTCCATTTGAAACGAACTGTTGTACACATCATTGAAATAGAACAGTGTGCCATTGAATAATGTTAAGGTGAAATTTTTGGTCAATCAGTTTAGTCAAACATGAAATGGAAAGTCTATTGAAATGAATTGGACATAAATTAAATTCATTCAGTTGTTCAGTTAAACTGTTAATTGTGTTTAATTTGTGATTTTTCATTCCTGCCTGAGATATGGCATAATATTCTAGGGAAACATCCCATTGCTCCCAGGTTGTACAGTTACAAGAAAATAATTGTAAGAGAAATGTACCCACATGATTTCTATAAATGTCTATTAACTTAAACATTATATCATTACTGTGTTTCTTGATTTAAAAATAAGTGATTTTGGTAAAAAAAAATACTTACTAAAGGGTGGAAACTTATTTTAAAAGAATTCTGTTGTCTATAAATATAACACTCGGTATATTCATCGGGTATCAGTATCAACAATTCACGTACAATACACGTACATTATTTTACAACAAATTGTCAGATGACTAGTGTTAAAATTGATTCACAAATTCAAGTTCCAAGTGAAATATATTTTTCTGCATAACTGTGTCTATACAATTAGAGACAACACGGAGCATCAAAAAGGGAAGTAATTAATTTTAACAGTGATATTTAATGCATTAGTTACTATTTGGACTATAATTCTTAGACTAAATGTTCATGGGTCAGTGACCTCATATCAGTCATGTTTTTCAGCCAGGTGGCCCTGAACCTTTGAGCAAATGCAGAGATGGCTTCTTGTTGGGTTTTTGGCGTAAATGTAAATCCACTATCTGTACAAGTATTTTAGGGTTTAGTGGGGAACATAGTTATTCAAATCCTTGTTGTCCATGTTCTTGCAGCAGGTAGATGATTCTTTCACGAAGGACTTGATGTGGGATAATAGTCAAAATCTGAGGCTTGATTTACAGTATTGCTAATAGTTTTATTAAATGGGAGCAAATATTTTCTTCTCAATTCTGGCCAAATACGCTCGCTTCTGCCTATTCATAATTCGACTTGAATATGGGTTACTTGGGAAGTGATGGTGTCATTGGTTCCTACATACATATGCCATAGTGAACCGTCTACACAGATCCAACAATTACATTGAATCTGATATTTTCAATTTTTACTTGAAATTTGGTGTTAGAAATGATATTTTAAAAATTTAATTTTTTTAACTATTGCTCCATCTTGGTAAATAAAATATTATCTAGGTGATCTTTTCTACCATTTTCGAAAAATTTCAAATGTAGATGTAAAATATAGTATTAAGGAAACATTTGAGGCATTCAGAATAACAATGACAGGTCACAACTGAAGTTTGTTTCGAGAAAAATAACTTTCTTACATTCATTTTCACTACAGCCACATTTTCAAGGGTGGAATTTGAGGGTTTTCCCATATCCCCATTCATTTGATATTTCAGCATTTTCTTAGGTGTATGGTAGTAGTTAGGAAACCAGTTGAAAAATTCTTATTTGGATTGAGAATCATTGAAAACGCTACTTCATTTGACTAACCACTTTTTACTATTTTACTCAGCTACTTTAATTTATTTATTGGGATGTGGGGAACCTTAAACAGCAAAGGACATTGTGGCCTGCATGTGATAAAAAATTCTAATAGTGTGATGAATGTTAATGGGAGTGAATGGTGGAACGAGAGGAAGGGAAACGAGGAAAGCTGTAAGAAACCCTGCGCATGTCCACAACAAATGGATTGGGAGGGGATTAATTCCCCTCGTTAACAATGGAAGATGTGGTAGTCATTATACTCCTCTTCTTCCCTTCTTGCATCTTTTAAGGTAGAGAAATTGATGTAAATGCAGGGAAACTAGACATAGGCGCCTTGATAAACTGTTTGTTGAGTTTTATTCTATTAAGGATTTCAAATAGAAAAATTAGAGAACCAGTTTTATGCAATTTGTTACCACAGGATTAACGTATGAAAAGATATCATTTAATTTGCTGCCATGTAATGTTATGGGTTCTTTTGAAGAAAGGCACATTTGCATAGGGAATGCTACAAAACAGTTTGAAGATGTTGCATGTTTACAATGTTAGGTCAAGGTTTATTCATTTGAATCTGTTGCACCACTTTTTGTGTTAGCAATGGCAAAATTCAAATAGTGTGTTAGTTTTTTTATGTTTGTTGAACTGTTATTCAATAGTGAAGCAAACAACCTGCCAGTAGGGCAACTAAGAGCTATCAAATAATGTTTGTATCACTAGCATGGTGAAGAACTTTGTACCATGATAATACAATTTATAAAATAGTAAAATCATTTTGAGATAAATCTAAATTCACTGGGACTCTTCCATTAAAGAGAGATGCAGCTGTACATGGGTAATTGAGCAATTGAGGCGGTCGCAGTAAAATGGGTACATATGCAAAAAGGTTGTTTTGAGAAAAACTGTTGAAAGTTTTGTTTATGTATATAAAGTTTGACTTTCAATAACGAAATAATAACTGAAATATAAAAAGTTTCTATTCAAAACACGTTATACACATCAAAATGACAGGCACATCTCTTTACTTGTTTAAAAACAATAATTGTTATGTATATGTTTTTGTGCTCTTTGTATGCAGATTAAATTTAAGGTAATAAAATAGAATAACATTTTAATACAAAGTGAGTAATATATTTTAGAAACATTTCATGCCTATTAGCATTATGTACAACAAACTTCAATTTTTTGTTTGCAACAAAAAAAGTTTGTTAGACGTCAATAAGTATCGGAATATGGAAGAAGAAGTCAATTTTTTAAATCTTTTTCTAAGAACTCATATTTATGTATTTAAATATATATTAATATTTAATATATTCCCTAGGGAAATGATATTAAAATGTATCGCAACTCTTATTATAATAATGATAATGATAATAATGATGATGATAAATCATCACTGCTTCTCACATACTTTGTACAGCTACTTTCAAATTTGAGTACCAACCTCAGCTTTCAAGATACAGAAATAAAACTTCAACCACCTGTACTAAAATACATGCGAACACAAATAGCCATTCTACTTAAAAAAGGCCCATAGGCTTATTGCCCTTTTTACCTCGACCACCTGAATTGACAGATTTGTATAATATGTAATAAGATTGTGTATATTTTCTGCCTTACTATAATAATATTATGTGTATTTTCTGCGTTACAGGTTTTTGGAGATGGCATCAAGATATGCTGATTACAGAACAACAATAGACAATCACAGTAATAGTAGTGGTTCGATAGTTTTATCAGACGATGATGATGATTATGTTGTTCTAAAGCATAATCGGTGTAAAAAGAATGTCATTGTTGACTCTGACTCTGAGTCTGAAAAAGAACTTGATAATCTTCCCTTCCATTCTACTGTAATAGCTGATCATGTATTGCCAAATTTTGAAGAGATGTGTGTTGATAACAGAGAAGAAAGAATTTCGGATATTGCTGGACAGAGAAGTTCATTGTCAACGAATTCCATGTCTGATCATGATGTATTCCAGTCGAGTGAAGAATCCGAACAAAAGTCACCAGTAAAACCTCGTAAATCAACAAGAATTAGTCTTGCTCTTGGTAAATTATTGACTATTGATAGTGAAGCAGTTTCAGCTGCCTGTCGGAAGTCTTTATGTAATGCCAAAGAAACATTTAAAAATCCCAGTAGAGACGGTGTTTGTGATGATGAAGGTGAAAAGTGCGAGAAGACTGTTACACTTTTGAGTTCTGATGATAGTGAAAGCGAGGAAGGGGATATTGTTAAGAGTGGCACTGATAAGAATTATTTTCAGAATTCCCATGATAACAATTTTGGATGCAAAAAGAAAAATATTCTAGTACAAAAGCATGATGGCACTGTAGCCCATTTTAGTTCAGATGACAGTGTAGATGAAACTGAAACTACTTTGAAAAACGAAAATGGTAGTGAGAAAAATTTACAGGCTTCTCAAGAACGTAAAAATAGTAAATCCAAAAATAAGAAAATTCTTGTACAAAGACATGATGGCAGTGTGGCACATTTTAGTTCAGATGACAGTGAAGATGAAATTGATCAGCGTCCTGTGGAAAATGGAATGCTAGATGAGAACACAATTTACAGGGTTTCAAGAAGATGAAAGTAGTAAATCAAAAATAAGGAAAATTCTTGTACAAAGGCATGATGGCAGTGTGGCACATTTTAGTTCAGATGACAGTGAAGATGAAATTGAAGCGTCTGTGGAAAATGGAATGTAGGTGAGAAAAAATTATCAGGGTTTCCAAGAAGATGAAAGTAGTAAATCCAAAAATAAGAAAATTCTTGTACCAAAGGCATGATGTAGTGTGGCACATTTTAGTTCAGATGATAGTGAAGATGAAAATTGAAAGTGTGGAAATAAGAAGAGGATGGTAGTCAAAATTCTGGTAACAATAATAAAATGAATGAGAATGATCGATCTGATATTCAGGTTTTAAAAATAGAAAATAGAGTAGATAAATCAAAAGTTTCTGACATAAGATCGTTTATAACTGTACAGAAACCACAGGTGACTCAGTCTTTTAGTCAGCTGAAGGGTGAAATTGAAGTATTGACTAGAGATATAGCGAAGTTGAAAAACATTGTAAAGAATATTGATGTTAGTAAGTTACCAGATAATGGAATGAAACTACAAATGAAATTACAAGAGAGCGTGTACTTGCTGAAAATTAAAGAGAGAGAATTAAAAAAATTGCCAATGGATTCCGCCAGTGAAAAGATTCCAGAAACCACTGTCAAACCTGCAACTAGCCGGTTGCCAATTGGATTTGGAGTCAAAGCTTTGCAGACTCAAATTAGAGAAAAAACTTTAACGGAAGAAGCAATTTCTGATTTACATGGGTCAATTAGTACATGCCCAACAGAAAATGTACTAGCAGATGCTCCATTGGCGTTGAGATCTTCTGTAGAACTTATGATTCATCAGCGCCATGCTTTGGCATGGCTGCAATGGAGGGAAACCCAGAGACCACCTGCTGGTATATTAGCAGACGACATGGGACTGGGGAAGACACTCACAATGATATCTCTGGTGCTAAAAAGTAAAGAAGAAGAGGAAGGGGATGAAAAGTGTGAAAAAAGTGAATATGAAGATGAAGAGGAGAGTGATGGGTATCCTTTGGGAGGAACACTGGTTGTTTGCCCTGCCAGCTTGCTCATGCAATGGGAAGATGAAATAAAGAAACATTGCAGGAGAGGTGTTTTGGAGGTGGAAATTCATCATGGTTCAAAAAGAGAGGAAAATGCAAGACAATTAGCTCGAAATGATATTGTCATAACCACATACAGTATTGTGAGAACGAGTGCCAATAAAGGAGGGAAGGAAGAAACGGTTAAAAGAACAAAGAGAGGTGTTCTACACAGGGTTCGGTGGAGGAGAATTATTTTAGATGAAGCACATGTAGTACGAAATCACAAAAGTCAACAGTCACTTGCTGTTTGTCTTCTTATGGGACGCAAGAGATGGGCTCTTACTGGAACACCAATCCATAATAAAGAACTAGATTTATATGCACTATTGAAATTCCTTCGGTGCTCTCCATTTGATGATTACAATGTGTGGCGTCGGTGGGTAGACAATAAAAATAGTGCTGGCATTAAGAGATTAAACACTGTTATTAATGCAATAATGCTACGACGTACAAAGGCATTGTTGCAAGATAAGGGAGAATTAGGAAGTCTTCCAGAAAAAAATATGCAGGAGATATTCATACAGTTAGAGAAGGATGAGTTTGAGGTTTACACCAAAGTACTTTGGTTTTCCAAGACACTGTTTGCTCAGTTTTTACAACAAAGAGCAGACAAGGAGATGTTAGGAATGCCTACATTTTCCCAACCTCAGTCAAAGGACCCGAAAGAATTAATTGCAAGCAATCCTGAGTTGGCAAATATGTTCAACAAAATGCAGCAGATGCATGATATCAAGACGCATGACATTCTGGTGCTATTGTTGAGGCTGCGACAGATCTGTGTACATCCTGGGCTGATAAAAGCAATGCTAGATGAAGAGGCAAAACAGTCTATAGATGATGTGAATGAGGTAGATGGCGATATTCTCTCAAAAATGGGGGCAATGTCCTTAGACGATCATTCACCAAGAAATGACGAAGTATTGGAAGAAGAAGTCTTAAAAGTGAACAACCCTGTTTTTGACCTTACCAGGATGAGTTCTAAAATGAAGGCTGTATTTAAAGTACTTCATGAGAAAGTTATTAATACATCCGATAAGGGAATTATTGTTTCCCAGTGGACGTCAATGCTGAATATAATTTACACCCATTTGGTTGATTCTGGAGTAAAATGTGATATGTTAAGTGGTGCTGTACCTGTGAAAGATCGAATGGAAGTAGTAAAAAACTTCAACAGTGAAAGAGGTAATCAGGTACTTCTCCTTTCACTCACAGCAGGAGGTGTAGGATTAAATCTTACTGGAGGAAATCATCTTTTTCTAATAGATTTGCATTGGAATCCACAGCTGGAATCACAGGCATTTGACAGAATTTATAGAGTAGGGCAGAAGAAACCTGTGTACATTTATAAATTTATATGCCAGGAAACAATTGAAGAAAGAATTAAAGTTCTACAGGACAAAAAACTATCACTAGCAGCAGGTGTTTTAAGTGGCACTATGCAAAGAAATGTTAGCAAACTTACATTGGAGGATCTCAAGAGTCTTTTCAGCATGTAAAATTGACTTTTAGAGGTAAAATTAATATTTTTTTTCTGTGGTTTCTTATCAAATCAAAATATTTGTTTCTAATATTTTATGGGTTTGTTTACTGGTGGAAATGTCCAGAAGATTTGTCAGTAAATAGCTTAGTTTTAAAGCCTGTGATTTAGGATTGTGAGGTGGAGATACACTTCGAAGTATCAGTAAATTTGATCATGGAGAAGTTTTGAAACTTTATCATCATTGTATTGGTGTAAAGTGCAAAAAAGTAATGTAACGTTATGAAATGAAAATGTTATTGTTGGGTTTTACAATCTATTCGTCATTCATTTACTATGAAATTGTTAATCAACATTTGGTATAATCATTCTTCTATTTATGTATTTTCATAATATTCACATTTTGATTATTCTTATATATTTATTTATTTATTTGACAGGGTTTATTGAGAAGGGCAGAAGAAACCTGTGTACATTTATAAATTTATATGCAAGGAAAAAATTGAAGGAAGAATTAAACTTCTACAGGAGATACACTGTCATTAGCAGCAGGTGTCTTAAGTGGCATTATGTTAACCTGTCTTTGCATAGTGCCACTTAAGACGCCTGCTACAAATGATACAGCGGCACTATGCAATGAATTGTTACAAAAGTATATTAGATCTTGAGTTTTTTCAGCATGTATAATTGACTTTTAGATGGAAAATTAGTGTTTTTCTGTGGTTTATTTTCAAATTAAAATGTATTCAATCTTTTAACTTGTTTTACTGCTACAAATGTCCTGAAGATTTGTCAGTGAATTGCTTAGTTTTAAATGCTGTAATTTATGTTTGTCAAGTAGAGATACACCCAGAAATACCAGTACATTGAGCCATGGAGGAGTTTTAAAATTTTATTACTGTGTTGTAGTGAAAATATAACTTTTTTTTTTTCTTTCTCGTATACATACGTATTGCACTCTGATCTTTATGCCTTTAATATGTAACCATAATTGAACCCTTGGTATCATCTTTTTCTTTTGTACATATTTTTTTTAATATTATTAAAATGTTGGTGATGTGTTAACTGTTTTATTTCTGTGGTCAAATTATGAATCCTGAAATGTTAAAAAAGTGTAATTACAATGTGAACATTAATTTTACAAATTCATTTTAGGGTATTACTGTGAATTAACCATACAAATTCATCTGTATTCACTAGAAGAGAATTTGAGAATGTTTCTGCAATTCTGGATGAAGTGAATATTCTGTCTTGAAAGATAATAAGCACATTAAATTTAATTTTAATTAATTGCATATTGTATTTGCTTACCATGATGTTATTTCAACATTGTAGTATACCCCGTCAGTTCATCATGTTTATTGTCAAAGATTCCTTGTATTAGAGAAATATGCCCTCATAGTCATGATATTTATAGATTGTAGAATCAATGAGATTGCAACTGCTTGAACTAACAAGATATTTTTTTGCTTTTCATTAATATGTAATTTTAGTTTCCTTTAGGGAATCCCTTCATTTACATATAGTTTGTGCAACATAGGACAAGGGGCAATCTACATGAAATACCATAAATAATATTTTCTATCTCACTTTGTTTATCTTTTATTAAAGGGTTTTTTGTTGGAATGTTTAACTTTGTCATCAGTTTGCTATATTTGTTTTACTGAATATTTAAAGTAGTGTTCAACTAGATGAATTAAATTCAATTACATGATGTTTTAGTTATCAACACTTGTTGCTGAATGTAATCTTCGAAAAATACAGGTACTTAAAATGCGAAATTTGGAGCTCTTTTTCGCCCAAAAATGTTTGAGTTTTCAGAAAACTTTATTGGAAGTCATTTGAAGCACTTCCACTCACAAATGCATTAATGAAAATAAATTGTTGGAAATGCGCTTATTAGCGATAGAAGTATTTAAAGAAATACATTTGTAATTTTTGAAGAAAAAACAAACTAGAATACAGAAAAAATAATTTTATGAACAAATCGCCGCCAATGTAAAAATTAAGAGCGGGAGAGGCAAGTCAAAATAATTCAATTTTTGCGAAAATAAAAGACTACAGAAAAATCACAATCTCGTATGACGAGTCAATATGTCTTGGATGGAGAGAGTGAAGTTTCATTACTGTCTAGAAGCGAAACGAGCCATGACAGCATTTGCTCAAAGAACCGGGGAAACTGATCGATGGGGGGGGGGGTCAAGGAATTGTACTACAATACTTGTTACGAATAGATTAAGATATTATTCAGTAGATTTTTTAAAAATGTGTCTATATCGACGCAACGCGTCTTCTAACTCCTTACGGAGCGTTGAGCGCGCTGGAGTAATCCTCCGTTAATAAGTTGCCCTCTAGGGGTCGTTGTGTTGTTAAGTTGCGTCAGGGAATCGTCAACAGGTAGCGTCTTCGCGCTCGCTCGCGCCCTGCGACATCTCATCGCCCGGAATTGGGAAGGAATAAGGACATGGGTAAGGGTTAGAACGGGCAAACTCTTTTGTCGTGACAAATTTCACATGCAGTTCTACGGGAATTGATCCCAGAACTTCAGTGGTGAAAGACAAGCGACTTCGCCACGAGAGCACTTTTTGTAGTAAATAATTTAAAATTTCAAGATTTGTGCAGTTTCATGATTAAAGTGATAGTAAAATATACTTGTTATTGTCATTTTACTGCTACTAATAATATTTTTTATTTATTTATTGTCATCTTATAGAGTACATTTATAACTATCCCCACCAAAAATTTAAGGAAAGTAGTGGTGGTAAACAGCACGTTGTTTCTCGCTATTAGTAATAGTTATGTAATGCTATTTATACCACAATTTCTCTCCGATTTATTTCTGTAAAACTCATTTGAAATCGAAAACATTTGGCGCGAAAAATAAGCAGAATGTGAGAAAGTAAAATAATTAAACGTCAATAAATAATGCGACACTAATAGCGTTGTGAAATAATTAGATCGAAAAATATAAAATAGTAACTTCATTATTAAACACTATAATATTGTAATATTTTACAAATATATGAAAGGATTAGTTTTCATTTTCGCAAACGAAAAGCAGCCGTCATCGCCTTCTGTTATCTGTGCGGCGTTACAACAATGGGTAACATCCAACAATGACTGCTCATCTATTCGTTTTCGCGTTTAACACAACTTAAAATGAAATAACAAATATAGTAAATAATAATATGAAATAACATACAATTCTCACTTACGTAGTATCCAACTGCGTAAATTGGGAGCGGGGGACTGAAGGCTAATTATATTTCAAGTAGGTGATAAATAATTTTTAAAAGATTAATTTGTAAACGTATAAAAAAGATCCAATGTAAGAAACAAACAAAGAAATATTAAATAATATATACACACTTTAACAGGATATTCAGAGCGCGCGACTAACTTTGACGCCCAATTACTCTAAAAAAAGCATTTTCAAAATATCCAACAGGACCTTATTTGAAACTCTGTTTTTGGTGAACATAATTCATTAAGAAAAATGTATCTTCATTATTGTAGTTGTAAAAAGGCACCGGAAAATGTTTATTTTTAAAAATATTCGAAAAATTAAGCATTTTAACCAACATGAGACCTACACCATTCTCTTAAACGTCTTGCAGACTATCCAACAACATAATTTAATCAAAAACGGAGTTGTTTTTGAAAACAAAAATTGTTGAAACAAAATTAAAAATTGCCTGTATTTTACAAATTTATGCGGAAAATATTCAAAATTTCAAATTACAAGAATTGTACATGACCTTATTTCAAATTCTATCTTTTAGGAAAAGATTTTATGAAGGTAAAATTCTCTATCTAATATTTTAGTTGTAGAAGGTAGAAATTTGAAATATTTGCAATTTTCGAAAAATCAGAGTTTTTAACCAACATGACGCCACTGTCGTAAACGTCCTTCAGACTACCCATCAACAAAATTTAACCAAAATGAATGGCGCCATTTTTGGAAAATGTCACTGTGGCTTCGTATAAAGTTCCCCCCCTTCAAAAGCATCTGTTTCAAATGGGGCCGGGACATCAGCCAAATCTATTGGGGAATATCAATTTTGGAGAAAATCGGCTGAACGGTTTAGCTTCTAGTGTACGTAATTCACAGACTGATTGGATTCTGACGTCACCTGAGTTAGAGGATTTTTTTTCCTTAATTTAATAACTGGATTTATCTACTTTTTCGTTGCCACTTCACCCTTACTTCTATCTGTATTATTGCATTTGTGACTGGAAGTGCTTTAAATGACTTCTCATAATGTTTTTCGAAAACTCAAATGATTTCTGTGCTTAGTATTTACTTGGCTGGCGACAGAAACGTCGGCACCTTCGCCATGGACGCGGCGTCACCCGGACAGCCGAGTAAATACTGACTCCGGTCGCGGAAGCCTACGCTCTCGATTTTGTGCAATTTTAATTTTATGACAAAGACAGTCTCACACATATCTATCAACTTCCTCAGAAACTGTCGAAATCGCCAAAGTGTGCAGGAATCTACAATTAAGCTGTCCCGAAACGAGGCGATTTGAATGACAGGTCTCTTGAAACTGTACCCAGGACCAAAGAGACTGACACAACACAGAGAGGAGTTACCAACAATGCTACCTAAATCATCTATCTAGGAGGTACTGGTTAGCAATAAAAATTCAGTAACCTGATGAGCGCCATTTTCACTCTCAAAAACTATGAACATCTCACGAAGTTAATACTGAAATATAAAATTTCACCAAAACAACTACTCTGCAATACACCAAATCTACAATAATAACGTCCAAACCGAAACCAAAACCTATCCCGTTCAGAATTATGAACCTAATTAAATTCAAGAATAACTTAAGATATTGGCAGATTACAAGAAGGAAGGATATATAACAAACTAAACAAGCTTACATGAGTAATAAAGAATGGACTGGTTGTTATTCAGTATAAAAATATAAAAATTACCTGTCAGAAATACAGTCTAAATAGGCAACGCTTATCTGAAATACAAACACTCATTCCTCCGTTTAGAATTGGGAACTTCAACAGTATACTCAGAGGAAGAATAGGCAAAGGCTATTGTTTAACTATTGAAAAATAACTGTTCAGCCTCATCCAATTATAAATAAGGTCAATAACCTAACAGTGAAATACTGAAACAAAGAGATCCTCACGATGCTGTCAGCTACTAAATTCATGTCTCCATGAAAAACTTCCCAGGAATAGATGGAATTCCAAACTTCAACCTCAAAATGTTAATCAAAAATGTAATACCGGCTTTAACAGTGATTTACAACGCAGCTTTATGGCTTAGTTGCTTTCCCACAAAATGGAACTGGTGATGATACAGATTGGCGAAGGCTTTCCCGTAATAGTATTTTTTATTTTCTTTGGTCTCGTCTAGCTATATGAACTTTCCACATACTCTCGCCAATTGCCTTCTATCGCCGCCCAAGTACATTGTTTTGAAAATTTTCTTAATTTTTCGGATTCATAAAGAGAGAACGGAAATATTATTATAAGAATATTAAAGAACAGAAAAAACCCGTACTAAATAACAAATATTCTTTGAAAAACCTGGAGCCATTTTTGAGAAAATGGCGATTAAGAGCTACCGTAAATTCGAAATTAGAGGCTTTTTCACAGAAAACTTTTGAATTTTTGAAACACTTCACTTGAAGCCGTTTAACTCACGAACACAATAGTGTTTACAAATTGCTGGAAATGTACATATCGTCGTGTTAAATCATAAAAAAAATACTTTTATATAATTTTTGATAAACAAAAACTACCCCGAAATGAACTATACGTCATATTAAACAGTGCTATTAGCACTATCCCTTCGAATAGGTTGAAGACAAAATTTGGGGCTATTTTTGAGAAAATTGTATTTGAGCGTTTCTGAATTTGCGAAATTGTGAGCTAGTTTTCAAGAGGTTGAGTTTTCACGAAACTTTGTGTGACATTATTTAAAGCACATGTACTCATAAATATAATAATGTGAAAAAATCGCCGCTAATATAAATATTAACAAGAACACAGAAAGACAACAGAAGTTACAGAAACGTTAAAAACTTAAATTTTTTGTAATTTTGGAAAAAATGATTAGAACAATATGGCGTTAATGTCATCTCATAGAAAACATTTCGCACTTCCTTTCCTGTAGTTTAAGGAAAAATTGAAGCCGGTTTTGAGAAATATTGAATTTGTAATTTTTTTTAAATTGAAAATATGGCAGCTTTGCGATTTTGAAAAACATTCTTTAGAATTTGGGGGTACTTTTCATAAAGCCCTCCGGACTTTTTAAAACTTTTCTCAAAAAGGCTCCAAATTGTTTCTTTAATTTTTTTGTAAGAATAGAGTAACACACTATTATAAAAGTGGCATATGTCAGATTTTCACGCTTATCTCTGAATTTTCGAAAATTTCAAAAGAATGAATTTTTTTCGGGACCTTCCTAAATCTACCAAATTTAAGATAGACTTTTTTCTTCGAATTAAATTTGTTGTTCATAATTAGTTCTTTCATTAAGGTCATGTACATTTTTGAAACTTTTAGTACTTGTTGCGCAATATTGCGTGCAATATTTGCAATTTTAAAAAATAAAAAAACGTCATTTTCTCAAAAATGTCTCCAAATTTTTTCTTTTAACATTTGGTAGGGATAGTGCTAAATGTACTCTAAGAGATGACATAAATGCTGAATTGCTCTAATCTTTTGTTTCTCTCAAAAGTGTAAATTTTTACTTGTATCAGTAATATTTAT